TTGTAACGCCAGGGTAGTGGGTTCGATCCCCGGGACTACCCATACGTAAAAATGTATGCACACATGGAAAATGTAAGTCGCTTTGGATAAAAGCGTCTGCTAAATGGCATATTATTATTATTTATCTTCAATGCTGCAGAAATGTTTAGGTACCCTTCTCCAGATCTGTGCCTCGACACAATCCTGTCTTGGAGCTCTACGGACAATTCCTTCGACCTCATGGCTTGGTGTTTGCTTTGACATGCACTGTCAATTGTGGGACCTTATATAGACAGGTGTGTGCCTTTCCAAATCATGTCCAATCAATTGAATTTACTACAGGTGGACACCAATCAAGTTGTAGAAACATCTCAAGGATCATCAATGGAAACAGGATGCACCTGAGCTCAATTTTGAGTCTCATAGCAAAGGGTCTGAATACTTATGTAAATAAGGTTTTCTGTTTTTTATTTCTAAAAACCTGTTTTTGCTTTGTCATTATGGGCTATTGTGTGTAGATTGAGGGAAAACAATTTTATCCATTTTAGAATAAGGATGTAATGTAACTAGGGCTATTACGGTGACTGTATTACCACCACACCGGCGGTCACGAGTCATGATTCAGTCAAATTCCACATGACCATTTAGTCACGGTAATTAGTCTTCTCCAAGCTCTGATGGTCATTAGTAGCTTACCAAACTTGCTAACTGCCTGGTACTCAGCACTCGATTGTACCTCTAATCACTCTGACATCAATGCAAATCTAATCAAACACTTCATGAGAGCCCATGAGCTCATGTTGCGCAGCATTTCTATAGGCTATGCAATTGCGTGAGAAAACAGAGTTGTGGCCTCTAAAAGAGGAGATTCCCATCAGCTTTCTATAGGCTAGGCCTACTATATTTATTTCTCAACTTTCCTAATATTAAGCACATTGCTTCTCTTTACAACCGGAGTATAGCCTACCTGGCTGGCATTAAAAAATGAACCACGGGAAAAGCTATTTAAGTGCATCGATTACATGTATTTTTTTCCCTGCCCCTGTTTCGATGCATGATAATGGTCCATTCTAAATCAAAACAAATTTCACACATACACTACCGTTCAAAAGTTTGGGGTCACTCAGAAATGTCTTTGTTTTCAAAAGGAAAGCAATTGTAGCTGGAAACTGACAATTTTTAATGGAATATCTACATAGGCGTACAGAGGCCCATATCTCAGACTGGCCATTTTAATCTTTTATTTTGATTGGCCAGTCTGAGATCTGACTTTTTCTTTGCAACCCTGCCTTGAAGGTCAGCATCCCGGAGTCGCCTTTTCACTGTTGACGTTGAGACTGGTGTTTTGCGGGTACTATTTAATGAAGCTGCCAGTTGAGGACCCGTGAGGCGCCTGTTTCTCAAACTAGACACTAATGTATTTGTCCTCTTGCTCAGTTGTGCACCGGGGCCTCACACTCCTCTTTCTATTCTGGTTAGAGCCAGTTAGCGCTGTTCTGTGAAGGGAGTAGTACACAGCGTTGTACGAGATCTTCAGTTTCTTGGCAATTTCTCGCATGGAATAGCCTTCATTTCTCAGAACATGAATAGACTGACGAGTTTCAGAAGAAAGTTATTTGTTTCTGGCCATTTTGAGCCTGTAATCGAACCCACAATTGCTGATGCTCCAGATACTCAACTAGTCTCAAGAAGGCCAGTTTTATTGCTTCTTTAAATCAGCACAACAGTTTTCAGCAGTGCTAACATAATTGCAAAAGGGTTTTCTAATGATCAATTAGCCTTTTAAAATGATAAACTTGGATTAGCAAACACAACGTGCCATTGGAACACAGGACTGATGGTTGCTGATAATAGGCCTCTGTACGCCTATGTAGATATTCCATTAAAAATCAGCCGTTTCCAGCTACAATAGCCATTTACAACACTAACAATGTCTACACTGTATTTCTGATCAATTTGATGTTATTTTAATGGACAAAAAAATAGCTTTTCTTTTGAAAACAAGGACATTTCTAAGTGACGCCAAACTTTTGAACAGTAGTGTATATTATTTAGTATAAGTAAAGATTAAATCAAGAATAGTCTAATGGGTGACAATATTAGCCTATCACTTGTGAATTATATATTGTCACTTGTGAATGATGCCCAGCGTAAGGCAAGAAACAAAGCCTTTTTTTGCAACTTTTGTAGTATGTAGTACAACGCTGTGTACTACATAGTCGCACACCTCATGTAGCCTAGCCCATAGGCCTATATGTTTTGATAAGGTTTGTATCACAACTAAAGTGGCCAAATAACTTCTTAAAATTAAGCACATGTATCCGCTTTACAAGGGGTGTAGAGCCTAACTGGCATACGTAAGCAGCGCGTGAGTTTCAAGTTTGGGGAAGATAATTGTCACCATAAAACTGCACCTTTATAATAAAAGCAATACATGCATAATTGCATTTGCGGTCATAATGGTGTTTTCTCGCTAATGGAACATTCACGCTTATAGCTTACTGCCGTGTGCGCATTGCTGCGCTTATAATGTGAAGAAATAGCCTAATAGTTCATCAACATTTTAAGCTAAACGTTCTGTTCTGTTGGCGTCAGCCTCATTGTGTAAAACAGTTTTTTTGATGTGGTTGTAGTAATTTGGGATCTAACGGATGCCACAACTGTCCCAGACTATGTTTGGAATATTTATTTCTCGCACAGAATAGGTCAACTTTTGTACTATGGGGGATAGTAGATTGACATAGGCTAGTGCTTTTGCTGTTCGTTAGGCCTACTCATCTTGTTGGCTGACAAAAAGTAAATGTGGACAGTTCTTCCAATATCTTCAATATGCACCTCGGAATTGGATAAGGATGCGTGCAGTTGCATCCCTGATGTGTCTGTCTTCACTTGTAGCCTGTGAATCCTGCCGCAAAAGGCATGGATTCTTTTAGGGGGCATTCCGGCCACACAAAGGGGATGCGGATGGGAAATTCGAGGCATTATCAAGTGCTTGTCAAATTGTGAATGAGAGACAGATGAAGTGTGTACAGCCTCCGTAAAAAACAAAGCAGAGCTCATGCCTTTCATGCAACTCTTTTCAAATCATCATTAGAGACATCATGCAGCCTTACAATGTATTATAAATCAAAACATATAGCCCAAAGTTTGTAGAACAACTAAAGTTACATTAATAACTCTAAATTAAGCATATAGGAGTTTGATTTACTGAATGAATGATTGAAGGTATACAATAAAAATGTGTCTGACAACACAAGCATTAAACAACATGTATCTCCTATGTGTATCTCTTATTTGACAATAGGCCTAATGCACTGTTTTCGTATGCTTCATAATGGCATGTGCAGCACGTTTTGCGCTCCATCCATTGTATGACGCAGCAGTTTCTGTGCCAGGGATGCAGCAGGGCATTAGACAACAGGGGGGCATGGAGAAGCCAGTGGAGATGATGGAATATCTGATCAGACAAAACTGCAGACACACTGACCTGGTGAGGCCACTCTTAAAGACAGGGCTTTTTGTCACTTACATTTTAATATTTTATAATGAACATGAATAAATGAGGTATTATCAGTCAATGACGATGTAATGACATGGATCTTCAGCGTTTTGCCTTTGCTTTCTTTTAGGTGAGAAGACAGAAGAGAGCAGCTCCGTGTGTGACTTCCCAGAGAACGAAGGGAAAGAAGAAGAGGATGAGACTCATCAGGACACTGATAAACTGTTGGCAGAAGCTGCCTACTAAATAAATGGGAAATAATATGTTTTTATTTTTCCCCAATCGTTTAAAAAAAGCATGTATGGATTGTGTTTAATTTGGTTCTCATTTTGTATAGTAGAATCACTTTCTTTGTTAACCCCTCAACACAGAATAGCCGCATGTGTGCACTCCCTCATCGTTTGGAGAAAATATCCTTTCTATTTTATTCAGCTTTGTTCAATTTTATTCTTCATACTATAAAATAATATAAAAAATGCCACGGAATTCTAAGCAAATCTTGTCTGCTACATGAACTAGTGTAGCCCACAGCCATATGGCATAGCCAGATGAGGACCTAACATAAGGACAACTCAGAGTATGCTATTATGTTCTTCTGAAATAGACTAAATTTTCTTCATATCAAGTTTCTTCAGACCTGTCTAAAATAAATAATGGATTTATTGTGAAGGTGTGGGCTATATTACATAGATTTATTAGACTTTTTAAAATGTAGATCCAAAGGTCTGCATCAGTGGCTTGTAGGCTATGTGTGGAAGCCAGGAGATGCTAAATGTGTTTATGTTAATTAATGGTCAATTACCGCGAGACCGGTAGTTATTTGCTTGACAATCACCGGCTGACGAAATTTCATGACACCACAGCCCTAAACGTAACAAAATGTGGAAAATGTCAAGGGGTCTGAATACTTTCCGAATGCACTGTATGTGTGTCTCTACACACCGATGCCGAGGCTATTGGTGGATTCAAGGCGAGGTCGTCTTTATTGATCTCAGAATCTCCATTTGTCAGTGTCAAAGTAGCCTGAAATTCAGATAATTTGTTAGGTATTAAAAAAGATGCTGCTAAAGTCTCCAGTCATCTAAAATGATATAGAATTGCATGAAATGCGTTTATAAAAGGCCACATTTTTCTCACCCCTAGGCTACAAAATGTTTCCCCATGTGTGCAACTTCTGCAAATCACCTCTACTGCTCTATGCCAGTACGCAAAAGCAATGATAATGCATCCAATGCTTTACTATAATGGGGTTGTTTTTTTATGCGTTCCAGTACCTCAGAGCCCGGACATACTTTGTTCAGGCACCTCCCAATTTACAAATTAAGCACTAAGTAGGAGTGCTGATCTTGGATCAGGCTCCCATTGGTCATATAACCTTATACATTGTTATCTAAAAGGCAAAACTGATCCTAAATCAGAACTTCTACTCTGAGGTGCTTGCTACATATGTCCCCAGATCAAAGTGTGATGCTGACATGATGCGGTCAGTGTTACCTGTGAAGGGCGGCGCAGGGACGCACTGCGGAGGAGACTGGGAGCAGGAGGGTGTGGAGTGCAGCAGGGTCATGTGGGAGGGGAAGAGCAGCTCACATCGACTGTCTTCACTGAACAGCACTGACAGGAAGACGCCTGCTGTGCTGCTCTCATCGAAGGACGACGCCATGCGCTGGAACATGGGGTCCACCTGGAGTTGGAGGGGTGGGATGATAATGAGCTTACCATGTGTGAGCGTTATAGGAACTTTCACAATCCTGTCTGGATCCATACTCTCAGTAAATTTGATAATAAGTCCTCAGGCTTTCCTCACCAATTCCATCTATAGTCTCAAAGATTTCCAGGTGACTCCACAACAAACCACACAGGCATAGCCTGGTCCTTTACCTCAGGCTATTCCTGGAGCAGGAAAACCATCACTTACCTCACACTTCCTCTCTGCCTCAGAGCTGTTGATGTTGCTTAGGTTCTGCTCCACAGTCTTCTTGGGAGGCCTCTTCTTCTTCACCACCTGCTTGGCAGCCAGCTCTCCTGTAGCCCCCTCCTCCATCTCTCCCCCATCGCCTGCTCCATGCTCTACACACACACACACACACAGGAAAGGGTCAGAGCCTGATGATCCTTTATTGACAACAGTCTATTTTTTTATGACAGAGCAAGTCACAGTATGGCACCATATTCCCTATATAGTGCACTACCCTATGGACCATGGTCAAATGTAGTGCACTATAAAGGGAATCGTTTTCCATTTGGGACACACAGACAGTGTACTGACGTTATAGTTAAGAGGCTCTCACCTTCCCCAGGCTTAGTCTCAGCACCCAGTCCTCCCAGTACTCTGTAGGCATCAGCATGGACAGCATCCACTCGGACTGCGTATATCTTGGTGCTGGCGTCCAAGGTACCCGCTGCCACCTTGGCAGGGACAGAGAAAGACACATTATTAGATGGTCACTTTCTCATACAGCCAACAGACGCTAGGCCCGTAAAGTGAAATGACCAGTCTGTCATCAATATACTCCATTAGTTAGGAATAAGCCTATAAAAACAATGCATATCTTAAGTGGTTGGGCTACAAACTTCTTCATTAGTAGATTATACTTTAATCTCTTCAAAAAAATACAGAACTAAGAACAGATATAGCCCCTGGTTCTCCTCAGACTTGACTGCCCTTGACCAGCACAAAAACATCCTGTGGCGTACTGCATTAGCATCAAATAGCCCCCGCGATATGCAACTTTTCAGGGAAGTTAGGAACCAATATACACAAGCAGTCAGGAAAGCAAAGGCTAACTTTTTCAAACATAAATGTGCATCCTGTAGCACTAACTCCAAAAGGTTTTGGGACACTGTAAAGTCCATGGAGAATAAGAGCACTTCCTCCCAGCTGCCCACTGCACTGAGGCTAGGAAACACTATCACCACCGATAAATCTACAATAATCGAGAATTTCAACAAGCATTTTGCTACGGCTGGCCATGCTTTCCACCTGGCTACCACTACCCCGGCCACCAACTCTGCACCCTCCGCTGCAACGTGCCCATGCCCCCCCCCCCCGCTTCTCCTTCACACAAATTCAGACAGCTGATGTTCAGAAAGAGCTGCAAAATCTGGACCCCTACAAATCAGCTGGGCTAGACAATCTGGACCCTTTCTATCTAAAACTAGCCTGTTGTCTGGACCTATGGCAGTCTCTATGGGGGTGCCACAGGGTTCAATTATTGGGCCGACTCTTTTCTCCGTGTATATCAATGATGTCGCTCTTGCTGCTGGTGACTCTCGGATCCACCTCTACGCAGACGACACCATCTTGTATACATCTGGCCCTTCATTGGACACTGTGTTAACAAACCTCCAAACGAGCTTCAATGCCATACAACACTCCTTCAGTAGCCTCCAACTGCTCTTAAACACTAGTAAAACTAAATGCATGCTCTTCAATCGAACGCTGCTGGCACCCGCCCACCCGACTAGAATCACCACTCTCGACGGGTCTGACCTAGAGTATGTGGACAACTACAAATACCTAGGTGTCTGGTTAGACTGTAAACTCTCCTTCCAGACTCACATTAAGAATCTCCAATCCAAAGTTAAATCGGCTTCCTATTTCGCAACAAAGCCTCCTTCACTCATGCTGCCAAACATGCCCTCGTAAAACTGACTATCCTACCGATCCTTGACTTCGGCGATGTCATTTACAAAATAGCCTCCAACACTCTACTCAGCAAATTGGATGTAGTCTATCACAGTGCCATCCGTTTTGTCTCCAAAGCCCCATACGCTACCCACCACTGTGACCTGTACGCTCTTGTTGGCTGGTCCTCACTACATGTTTGTCGTCAAACCCACTGGCTCCAGGCCATCTATAAATCACTGCTAGGCAAATCCTCGCCTTATCTTAGCTCATTGGTCACCATAGCAGCACCCACCCGTAGTCTGCGCTCCAGCAGGTATATCTCACTGGTCATTCCCAAAGCCAACACCTCCTTTGGCCGCCATTCCTTCCAGTTCTCTGCTGCCAATGACTGGAACGAATTGCAAAAATCTCTGAAGCTGGAGACTCTTATCTCCCTCACTAACTTTAAGCATCAGTTGTCAGAGCACCTTACCGATCACTGCACATGTACACAGCCCATCTGAAATTAGCCCACCCAACTACCTCATCCCTATATTGTTATTTATTTTGCTCTTTTGCACCCCAGTATCTCTATTTGCACATAATCTCTTGCACATCTAGCATTCCAGTGTTAATACTAATTGTAATTATTTTGCACTATAGCCTATTTATTGCCTTACCTCCATAACTTGCTACATTTGCACACACTGTATATATATTTTCTGTTGTATTTTTTGACTTTATGTTTTTTTTACCCCATATGTAACTCTGTGTTGTTGTTTTTATCGCACTGCTTTGCTTTATCTTGGTCAGGTCGCAGTTGTAAATGAGAACTTGTTCTCAACTGGCTTACCTGGTTAAATAAAGGTGAAATAAAAAAAAATAAAAAAATTAAGTAGCGCAAATCTGAAGTGTGTCTTTTGTGATGAGGAAATTTAAAGAGACATAAGAAACAGAAACTACAATAAAGGAATCATTAATATGTATAAAGCCATACCTTGAAATTTGTGAGCTCAGAATCCTTCTGTTTGAGGATGTCAGCCATGTAGTCAATCAGGTGGAGACCAAAGGCATTTTTGGTGGTAATTTTCTACAAAAATAGGACAAGGCTTTGTGAATCTGAGGCACCAGTTTCCAATAACTTGCATGGTTGGAGACAGTACCTTCAGAAAGTATTCACACCCCTTGACTTTTCCCACATTTTGTTCTGTTACAGCCTGTATTTAAAATGGATTAAATTGAGATTGTGTGTCACTGGCCTACAGACAATACCCCATAATATCAAAGTGGAATTATGTTTTTATTTTTACTAATTAATAAAAACATTAAAGCTTAAATTTCTTGAGTTAATAAGTATTCAACCCCTTTGTTATGGCATGCCAAAATAAGTTCAGGAGTAAGAATTTGCTTAACCAGTCACATGATAAGTTGCATGGACAATAATAGTGTTTAACATGATTTTTGAATGACTACCTCAATCTCTGTACCCCACACACACAGATAACTGTAAGGTCCCTCAACCGAGCAGTGAATTTCAAACACAGATTCAACCACAAAGACCAGGGAGGTTTCCAATGCCTCGCAAAGAGGGGCACCTATTGGAAGATTAGTTAAAAAAAGCAGACATTGAATATCCCTTTGAGCATGGTGAAGTTATTAATTACACTTTGGATGGTGTATCAATACACCCAATCACTACAAAGACACAGACGTCCTTCCTAACTCAGAGGAAGGAAACCGCTCAGGGATTTCACCATGAGGCCAATAGTGACTTTAAAACAGTTACATAGTTTAATGGCTGTGATAGGAGAAAACTGAGGATGGATCAACAACATTGTAGTTACTCCGCAATACTAACCTAATTGACAAAGTGAAAAGAAGGAAGCCTGTACCGAATAAAAAATATTCCAAAACATGCATCCTGTTTGAAACACGGCGCTAAAGTTAAACTGCAAAAAAAGTGGCAAAGAAATTATCTTTATGTCCTGAATATAAAGCGTTATGTTATGGGCAACTCGAACACAACACGTCACTGAGTACCACTCTTCATATTTTCAAGCATGGTGGTGTCTGCAGTTTTTTAGGATAAAAAGAAACAGAAGTACTAAGCACAGGCAATATCCTAGAGGAACAGAGCTGGAATAATTTTTAAAAGAATATTGTGCAATCCAGGTGTGCAAAGTTCTTAGTGACTCATCCAGAAAGACTCACAGCTGTAATTGCTGATTATTCTAACATGTACTGACTCAGGGGTGTGAAAACTTACAGTACCAGTCAAAGGTTTGGAAACACCTACTCAATCATGGGTTTTTCTTTATTTTTACTATTTTCTTTACATTGTAGAATAATAGTGAAGACATCAAAACTATGAAATAACACATATGGAATCATGTAATAACCAAAAAAGTGTTAAACAAATAAAAATATATTTGAGATTTTTCAAATAGCCATGAGAAATTCTGATGCATTTGGATAATATTCAAAAGGATAGAGCAATGAATAGCTAATCTGGCAGCCCTGTTTTGAGCGATTTTGAGCTTTTTTATATCTTTATTTGCTGCAGATGACCATATAACTGGACAGTACTCTAGGTGTGATAGGACCAGGGATTGATGCCATAAGCAATGATGAGGAACCGCATCAACATTTCCTTCACATGTATTCTGCCCCTCTTAGAAAAGTGCCTGTTAATGATAGTGTATGCATGCACATGCCGCTTACATTTTCAGTGGAGAGCTTGATGCAGGTGGAGTAATGCTCTGAGATCTGTGCATTTGACAGCTTAGGCACAGCAGCAGGGGTCCCCGTGTTGCTGAACACAAACACAAGGATTGTCTCTTACGAAGGTCTAAATCAATAGAACACCTGTCAAGATGTAGTAGAGGAGATTACTGGCAAAGGGAGGGCTTGGCCTACCTATGAGAGGCAGATTCATTAAATGAGGAGTCAGCGGCAGCTTGCAGGTCAATGACCCGGGATCTGCGCCTCTGACGCCGCTCTAGCTCATCATCGTTTCCCTCGAAAGATGCGAGGAGCGGGGTTTTGCTCGCGGCAGGAGAGGCGCCCTTGTGCTTCAGGGACGGCGAGGCCCACTGACGCACTCGGGAAAGTGGTGAGGACGATGAGTTCATCGTTACTGCCTGAGGGACACATAGATGCACATTATGTTTTTTATTCCTCTCTGCTTCCTGAACTGAAGTTGCATTTATTTAACCCTCCCGTTGTCCTAGGGTCAAAATGACCCGCCACTGTGTTGAACCAACTTTATTTAATTTTTATATTTTTTGGATCATTTGTGAGGAGGCAGTGATACTTTCTTTAAAGTCTCACTGCCTCCTTCTCACAAATGATCCCAAAAATATAAAAATTAAATAAAGTTGGTTCAACACAGTGGCGGGTCATTTTGACCCTAGGACAACGGGAGGGTTAAACAAGTTATACTGTAGGTAGGTAGCTGTTGGACATTTTATCATATGAGCCTTGCTAGCTAACGTTAACAAAGCAAAGTAGGCTTGATCTTTTTCAAAGCAATCATAAGTTAACAACGGTTTTGTTGTTGGCCACATGTACATTTACATTTTAGTCATTTAGAAGACGCTCTTATCCAGAGCGACTTACAGTTAAGTGAATGCATACATATTTTATTTTTTTTCTTCATTCAAACGAACCCACATCCCTGCCGGCCAAACCCTCCCCTACCTTGGACAACGCTGGACCAATTGTGCGCCGCCCATGGGTCTCCCGGTCGCGGCCGGCTGCGACAGAGCCTGAACTCGAACCAGGATCTCTAGTGGCACAGCTAGCACTGCGATGCAGTGCCTTAGACTACTGCGCCACTTCAACAATGATCCATCTCAAGCATAGTCTTGACTAAATATGAAAAGGTGTTTATCTTTTAAAGTTCTAGCGTTCACCTCTCATAATAAACAGTTGTAGATAGAGCCAATCGACCAGCCTAGGCAAAAGGATATACTAATAATAAATTGATGGCCCATTCACTGTACATCCTGTTGACACTCTTGATAATAGGGCAGTACATTTCCTTTCTCAAACCCCCCCATAGTTACACTACAGTACAATTTGAGGTTTATGAGAAAACATTTGGAAGGACAAATTCTCAGGGCAGTAAGTAAAAATCAAATAAAACTTTGAGTAAAAAAATGTTAAACCTTGCTGAAATATAATGAGAAATCCTTGATAAATGTGACCTGTACTAGTGGCAAGTGCTTAAACTAAAATGTTGGGGTAATTATTTAGGCCCACAATGGTCTCGTGTAAGACATTTGTATGTTCATGTTTGCCTATGTTAAGGACGCCACGCTGCTTTCTTAGTAAGTACCGGTTCCTCGTGATTCGGCTCGCACTGAGCTCGAACTCAGAACCTATACCTGGCTAGCACACGTGACCGCCCTCCTTGACAACGTACCAACCGTTTGAGCTATGGGAAAATATATAATTCGATAACTCCATCTGCGACATTTCAAGCTAGCTGTGGCATGAGTTTATGGTACGTTCTTAACTCCATTACACATAGAATAAGCATAGCCGAGAGATCTTGTCTCACACTAGATTTCTTAAAACATTTGGTATTGTGCAAGTTTGAAACGGGGAAAAATGGAACCCAATGGCGAGGATAAAGAACAAAAATAGGCAAACAGAGAGAAAACAAAGTAACGTTAGTTAGCACGGGCTGACAAGCAAAACCTAGCTAGCCCAAGTTAGATACAGGAAGGTATCGTTTGTGATTGTTGTTAGCAGTGATACTACCTAGCTAACTAACCTTTTAGCTAGCTAAAAACATGACTGGATTAGATAGCTAACTTGCTACTGTCTGTAGTTAGCTATATCTGATATCAATACACTACCGAGCTAAAGTTAGTTAGTTAAGGTTAACTAACGTTAGCTAATTTGCCATCCCCAGATTTCTTTTTAGCTAGCTAACGTTGCTGGTTGAAAACAAAAGCTGGAACTAGATTGAATTCGTACATTACCTCGATTATAGCCAAAGCTTCTGGAACAGTGAACTGTTTCTTTATAGCTAGCTAAATTAAAATGAAAACAGCGTGTTTTGCTTTGTACGGATGCACTTTTGTTGCTGAACAGATTTGAAAATGTGCGCCGAAGGGTTTACGTAACGACAGTGTGCATTACCATGTTGAATGAAGAATTAAACACTCGACTCGGATTGAGGTAGCTCCGCCCATAACTACATTTTGGGCTGAGAAGATGACAATCGTTTACATTTTGGGGGTTGGGGGGAGGGGCTGAGTGAGTGTTACCGAGGTGCTCAACCGTAGTGATGAAAAACTTTTTGAGGTCACATTGCTACCATTACATTTTTTTATTTTTTTTATTTCACCTTTATTTAACCAGGTAAGCCAGTTGAGAACAGGTTCTCATTTACAACTGCGACCTGGCCAAGATAAAGCAAAGCAGTGCAATAAAAACAACACAGAGTTACATATGGGGTAAAAAACATAAAGTCAAAAATACAACAGAAAATATATATACAGTGTGTGCAAATGTAGCAAGTTATGGAGGTAAGGCAATAAATAGGCTATAGTGCAGAATAATTACAATAGTATTAACACTGGAATGCTAGATGTGCAAGATATTATGTGCAAATAGAGATACTGGGGTGCAAAAGAGCAAAATAAATAACAATATAGGGATGAGGTAGTTGGGTGGGCTAATTTCAGATGGGCTGTGTACAGGTGCAGTGATCGGTAAGGTGCTCTGACAACTGATGCTTAAAGTTATTGAGGGAGATAAGAGTCTCCAGCTTCAGAGATTTTTGCAATTCGTTCCAGTCATTGGCAGCAGAGAACTGGAAGGAATGGCGGCCAAAGGAGGTGTTGGCTTTGGGAATGACCAGTGAGATATACCTGCTGGAGCGCAGACTACGGGTGGGTGCTGCTATGGTGACCAATGAGCTAAGATAAGGCGTACAGGTCACAGTGGTGGGTAGTGTATGGGGCTTTGGAGACAAAACGGATGGCACTGTGATAGACTACATCCAATTTGCTGAGTAGAGTGTTGGAGGCTATTTTGTAAATGACATCGCCGAAGTCAAGGATCGGTAGGATAGTCAGTTTTACGAGGGCATGTTTGGCAGCATGAGTGAAGGAGGCTTTGTTGTGAAATAGGAAGCCGATTCTAGATTTAACTTTGGATTGGAGATTCTTTATGTGAGTCTGGAAGTTGAGTTTACAGTCTAACCAGACACCTAGGTATTTGTAGTTGTCCACATACTCTAGGTCAGACCCGTCGAGAGTGGTGATTCTAGTCGGGTGGGCGGGTGCCAGCAGCGTTCGATTGAAAAGCATGCATTTAGTTTTACTAGTGTTTAAGAGCAGTTGGAGGCTACTGAAGGATTGTTGTATGGCATTGAAGCTCGTTTGGAGGTTTGTTAACACAGTGTCCAATGAAGGGCCAGATGTATACAAAATGGTGTCGTCTGCGTAGAGGTGGATCTGAGAGTCACCAGCAGCAAGAGCGACATCATTGATATACACGGAGAAAAGTGTCGGCCCAAGAATTGAACCCTGTGGCACCCCCATAGAGACTGCCATAGGTCCAGACAACAGGCCCTCCGATTTGACACACTGAACTCTATCTGAGAAGTAGTTGGTGAACCAGGCGAGGCAGTCATTTGAGAAACCAAGGCTATTTAGTCTGCCAATAAGAATGCGGTGGTTGACAGAGTCGAAAGCCTTGGCCAGGTCGATGAAGACGGCTGCACAGTACTGTCTATTATCAATCGCGGTTATAATATCGTTTAGGACCTTGAGCGTGGCTGAAGTGCACCCGTGACCAGCTCGGAAACCGGATTGCATAGCGGAGAAGGTACGGTGGTATTCGAAATGGTCGGTGATCTGTTTGTTAACTTGGCTTTCAAATACTTTCGAAAGGCAGGGCAGGATGGATATAGGTCTGTAGCAGTTTGGATCTAGAGTGTCACCCCCTTTGAAGAGGGGGATGACCGCGGCAGCTTTCCAATCTCTGGGGATCTCAGATGTTATGAAAGAGAGGTTGAACAGACTAGTAATAGGGGTTGCGACAATTTCGGCGGCTAGTTTTAGAAAGAAAGGGTCCAGATTGTCTAGCCCAGCTGATTTGTAGGGGTCCAGATTTTGCAGCGCTTTCAAAACATCAGCTGTCTGAATTTGTGTGAAGGAGAAGCGGGGGGGGGGGCATGGGCAAGTTGCAGCAGAGGGTGCAGAGTTGGTGGCCGGGTTAGTGGTAGCCAGATGGAAAGCATGGCCAGCTGTAGCAAAATGCTTGTTGAAATTCTCGATTATTGTAGATTTATCGGTGGTGATAGTGTTTCCTAGCCTCAGTGCAGTGGGCAGCTGGGAGGAAGTGCTCTTATTCTCCATGGACTTTACAGTGTCCCAAAACTTTTTGGAGTTAGTGCTACAGGATGCAAATTTCTGTTTGAAAAAGTTAGCCTTTACTTTCCTGACTGCTTGTGTATATTGGTTCCTAACTTCCCTGAAAAGTTGCATATCGCGGGGGCTATTTGATGCTAATGCTGTACGCCACAGGATGTTTTTGTGCTGGTCAAGGGCAGTCAAGTCTGAGGAGAACCAGGGGCTATATCGGTTCTTAGTTCTGTATTTTTTGAATGGGGCATGTTTATTTAAGATTGAGAGGAAATTACTTTTAAGGAACAACCAGGCATCCTCTACTGACGGAATGAGATCTATATCCATCCAGGATACCTGGGCCAGGTCAATTAGGAAGGCCTGCTCGCTAAAGTGTTTTAGGGAGCGTTTGACAGTGATGAGGGGTGGTCGTTTGACCGCGGACCCGTTACGGACGCAGGCAATAAGGCAGTGATCGCTGAGATCCTGGTTGAAGACAGCTGAGGTGTATTTAGAGGGTATGTTAGTCAGGATGATATCTATGAGGGTACCCATGTTTACGGATTTAGGGTTGTACCTGGTAGGTTCGTTGATAATTTGCGTGAGGTTGAGGGCATCTAGCTTGGATTGTAGGATGGCTGGGGTATTAAGCATATCCCAATTTAGGTCACCAAGCAGTACAAACTCTGAGGATAAATGGGGGGCAATCAATTCACATATGGTGTCCAGGACACAGCTGGGGGCTGAGGGGGGTCTGTAGCAAG